CTACTTTGTGCATGATACAAGTAATTTTTCCAACAATTGTTTACAGACAGATTATTTCACTTATAATTCACTGTATCACAATTCCAGTGGGTCAGAAGTTTACATACACTAAGTTTACTGTGCCTTTAAACAACTTGGACAATTCCAGAAAATGATGTAATGGCTATAGAAGCTTCTGATAGGCTAATTGACATCATTTGAGTCAATTGGAGGTGTACCTGTGGATGTATTTCAAGGCCTACCTTCAAACTCAGTGCCTCTTTGCTTGACATCATGGGAAAATCAAAATAAATCAGCCAATAACTTTTAAAAAATTATTGTAGACCTCCACAAGTCTGGTTCATCCTTGGGAGCAATTTCCAAACGCCTGAAGGTACCACGTTCATCTGTACAAACAATAGTATGCAAGTATAAACACCATGGGAACACGCAGCCGTCATACCGCTCAGGAAGGAGACACATTCTGTCTCCTAGAGATGAACGTACTTTGGTGCGAAAAGTCCAAATCAATCCCAGAACAACAGAAAAGGACCTTGTGAAGATGCTGGAGGAAACAGGTACAAAAGTATCTATATCCACAGTAAAACGAGTCCTATATCAACATAACCTGAAAGGCCGCTTAGCAAGGAAGAAGCCACTGCGCCATAAAAAAGCCAGACTAAGTTTGCAAAGTTTGCAACTGCACATGGGGACAAAGATCGTACTTTTTGGAGAAATGTCCCCTGATGAAACAAAAATAGAACTGTTTGGCCATAATGACCATCGTTATGTTTGGAGGAAAAAGGGGGGCCTTACAAGCCGAAGAACACCATCCCAACCGTGAAGCACAGGGGTGGCAGCATCATGCTGTGGGGGTGCTTTGCTGCAGGAGGGACTGGTGCACTTCACAAAATAGATGGCATCATGAGGAAGGAAAATTATGTGGGTATATTGAAGCAACATCACAAGACATCAGTCAGGAAGTTAAAACTTGGTCGCAAATGGGTCTTCCAAATGGACAATGACCCCAAGCATACTTCCAAAGTTGTGGCAAAATGGCTTAAGGACAACAAAGTCAAGGTATTGGAGTGGCAATCACAAAGCCCTGACCTCAATCCTATAGAACATTTGTGGGCAGAACTGAAAAAGCATGTGCGAGCAAGGAGGCCTACAAACCTGATTCAGTTACACCAGCTCTGTCAGGAGGAATGGGCCAAAATTCACCGAACTTATTGTGGGACGCTTGTAGAAGGCTACCTGAAACGTTTGACCCAAGTTAAACAATTTAAAGGCAATGCTACCAAATACTAATTGAGTGTATGTAAACTTCTGACCCACTGGGAATGTGATGAAAGAAATAAAAGCTGAAATAAATCATTCTCTCTACTATTATTCTGACATTTTACATTCTTAAAATAAAGTGGAGATCCTAACTGACCTAAGACAGCAAATATTTACTAGGATTAAATGTCAGGAATTGTGAAAAACTAAGTTTAAATGTATTTGGCTAAGGTGTATGTAAACTTCCGACTTCAACTGTATATATACTTTTTTGAAGTTTCATTGTTGGACATAAAAGACTGTAAAAACACCAGGAAATCAGCTCCAAGTGATTTTAATTTAGGAAATCTGTTCCCAAGTATTTCCATGCATAATAGAGACACGTGATCGTATAGAAATATAAGCAAGGTTTGAAATTATTGCTTTAGTCAAATATTATATACAGTGGGGAGAACAAGTATTTGATACACTGCCGATTTTGCAGGTTTTCCTACTTACAAAGCATGTAGAGGTCTGTCATTTTTATCATAGGTACACTTCAACTGTGAGAGACGGAATCTAAAACAAAAATCCAGAATTTCACATTGTATGATTTTTAAGTAATTAATTTGCATGACATAAGTATTTGATCACCTACCAACCAGTAAGAATTCCGGCTCTCACAGACCTGTTAGTTTTTCTTTAAGAAGCCCTCCTGTTCTCCACCTATTACCTGTATTAACTACACCTGTTTGAACTCGTTACCTGTATAAAAGACACCTGTCCACACACTCAATCAAACAGACTCCAACCTCTCCACAATGGCCAAGACCAGAGAGCTGTGTAAGGACATCAGGGATAAAATTGTAGACCTGCACAAGGCTGGGATGGGCTACAGGACAATAGGCAAGCAGCTTGGTGAGAAGGCAACAACCTTTGGCGCAATTATTAGAAAATGGAAGAAGTTCAAGATGACGGTCAATCACCCTCTGTCTGGGGCTCCATGCAAGATCTCACCTCGTGAGGCATCAATGATCATGAGGAAGGTGAGGGATCAGCCCAGAACTACACGGCAGAACCTGGTCAATGACCTGAAGAGGGCTGGGACCACAGTCTCAAAGAAAACCATTAGTAACACACTACGCCGTCATGGCTTAAAATCCTGCAGCGCACGCAAGGTCCCCCTGCTCAAGCCAGCGCATGTCCAGGCCCGTCTGAAGTTTGCCAATGACCATCTGGATGATCCAGAGGAGGAATGGGAGAAGGTCATGTGGTCTGATGAGACAAAAATAGAGCTTTTTGGTCTAAACTCCACTCACCGTGTTTGGAGGAAGAAGAAGGATGAGTACAACCCCAAGAACACCATCCCAACCGTGAAGCATGGAAGTGGAAACATCATTCTTTGGGGATGCTTTTCTGCAAAGGGGAAAGGACGACTGCACCGTATTGAGGGGAGGATGGATGGGGCCATGTATCGCGAGATCTTGGCCAACAACCTCCTTCCCTCAGTAAAAGCATTGAAGATGGGTCGTGGCTGGGTCTTCCAGCATGACAACGACCCGAAACACACAGCCAGGGCAACTAAGGAGTGGCTCCGTAAGAAGCATCTCAAGGTCCTGGAGTGGCCTTGCCAGTCTACAGACCTGAACACAATAGAACATCTTTGGAGGGAGCTGAATGTCCTTATTGCCCAGCGACAGCCCCGAAACCTGAAGGATCTGGAGAAGGTCTGTATGGAGGAGTGGGCCAAAATCCCTGCTGCAGTATGTGCAAACCTGGTCAAGACCTACAGGAAACTTATGATCTCTGTAATTGCAAACAAAGGTTTCTGTACCAAATATTAAGTTCTGCTTTTCTGATGGGTCAAATACTTACAGTGGGGGGAAAAAATATTTAGTCAGCCAGCAATTGTGCAAGTTCTCCCACTTAAAAAGATGAGAGAGGCCTGTAATTTTCATCATAGGTACACGTCAACTATGACAGACAAAATGAGAATTTTTTTTCTCCAGAAAATCACATTGTAGGATTTTTTATGAATTAATTTGCAAATTATGGTGGAAAATAAGTATTTGGTCAATAACAAAAGTTTCTCAATACTTTGTTATATACCCTTTGTTGGCAATGACACAGATCAAACATTTTCTGTAAGTCTTCACAAGGTTTTCACACACTGTTGCTGGTATTTTGGCCCATTCCTCCATGCAGATCTCCTCTAGAGCAGTGATGTTTTGGGGCTGTCGCTGGGCAACACGGACTTTCAACTCCCTCCAAAGATTTTCTATGGGGTTGAGATCTGGAGACTGGCTAGGCCACTCCAGGACCTTGAAATGCTTCTTACGAAGCCACTCCTTTGTTGCCCGGGCGGTGTGTTTGGGATCATTGTCATGCTGAAAGACCCAGCCACGTTTTATCGTCAATGCCCTTGCTGATGGAAGGAGGTTTTCACTCAAAATCTCACGATACATGGCCCCATTCATTCTTTCCTTTACACGGATCAGTCGTCCTGGTCCCTTTGCAGAAAAACAGCCCCAAAGCATGATGTTTCCACCCCCATGCTTCACAGTAGGTATGGTGTTCTTTGGATGCAACTCAGCATTCTTTGTCCTCCAAACACGACGAGTTGAGTTTTTAACAAAAAGTTCTATTTTGGTTTCATCTGACCATATGACATTCTCCCAATCCTCTTCTGGATCATCCAATTGCACTCTAGCAAACTTCAGACAGGCCTGGACATGTACTGGCTTAAGCAGGGGGACACGTCTTGCACTGCAGGATTTGAGTCCCTGGCGGTGTAGTGTGTTACTGATGGTAGGCTTTGTTACTTTGGTCCCAGCTCTCTGCAGGTCATTCACTAGGTCCCCCCGTGTGGTTCTGGGATTTTTGCTCACCGTTCTTGTGATCATTTTGACCCCACGGTGTGAGATCTTGCGTGGAGCCCCAGATCGAGGGAGATTATCAGTGGTCTTGTATGTCTTCCATTTCCTAATAATTGCTCCCACAGTTGATTTCTTCAAACCAAGCTGCTTACCTATTGCAGATTCAGTCTTCCCAGCCTGGTGCAGGTCTACAATTTTATTTCTGGTGTCGTTTGACAGGTCTTTGGTCTTGGCCATAGTGGAGTTTGGAGTTTGACTGTTTGAGGTTGTGGACAGGTGTATTTTATACTGATAACAAGTTCAAACAAGTGCCATTAATACAGGTAACGGGTGGAGGACAGAGGAGCCTCTTAAAGAAGAAATTACAGGTCTGTGAGAGCCAGAAATCTTGCTTGTTTGTAGGTGACCAAATACTTATTTTCCACCATAATTTGCAAATAAATTCATTAAAAATCCTACAATGTGATTTTCTGGATTTTTTTTTCTCAAGTTGTCTGTCATAGTTGACGTGTACCTATGATAAAAATTACAGGCCTCTCTCATCTTTTTAAGTGGGAGAACTTGCACAATTGGTGGCTGACTAAATACTTATTTTCCCCACTGTATGTCATGCAATAAAATGCAAATTAATTACTTAAAAATCATACAATGTGATTTTCTGGATTTTACATGCTTTGTAAGTAGGAGAACCTGCAAAATCGGCAGTGTATCAAATACTTGTTCTCCCCACTGTATTTTGGGGCTTCTTGCAGTCAATTTGCAGTCTACAAATTATTTGTAATTATGTTCCAAGGCTGATGCACTTGGCCTCTGACCTGTCTGCCCAGTACCCATCCCTCATTCCTAAATGTTAAGGGACCTGCATTGTGCTCTCTCCCCATGCAGTCCTGTTCAAAGTGTACTGCAGCGACCACACCTACACCACCATCCGGGTCCCCATGGCCGCCTCGGTCAGAGAGGTCATCAGCGCTGTGGCCGACAAGCTGGGGTCAGCGGAGGAACTCCTCCTGGTCAACCTCAGTTCGGCCGGAGGTGAGATGGGCTACAGCCACACGCTAATCAAATGGTGGTGGTTGACACACAGTCTTTCCACACAAGGCCTGATATTTACAGATGCTATGATGCTCATTAATCAGGACCTGATTTACTGGAAGTGATTGGGTTTTGGTGCTGGATCGGTCTGTTTCAGTATGTGGAGCTGTTATTTACTAGCATTTGTTTTGCTGCTAAGAATCTGGGCACAATTCTCTGCTGAGGATTCAGAGGAATATGGATGCCCCGTCTGTCATGTTCAATGCAATATTGCCAGTTCTAATGCTAACATAAATGCATCCTCTTCAAAGTATTTTTGACCGCTTTCTTTGATAATGAAGTTAGAGGACGACTCTGGGTTATTTCAGATGACTCAGGAGAGCGCTATGGCAACCGCAGCCAGTAAAACCCTATAGCAGTGTAACCGTATCTTCTCCTGTGATTAGGGTTAAGTAAAAGGCTGTGCACGGGCTATTTTGAAGCACTGTTTTGAAACTGTAATAGGCCTACAGAGGGGCATCTTTAGAAACTTACAAATCAAAATGTATTTGTCACATGCGCCGAATACAACAGGTGTAGACTTTACCGTGAAATGCTTACTTAAAGTACGAGCCCTTTCCCAACAATGCAGAGTTAAAAAGTAAGAAACATGTAGGTAGGTCTAAAAGTGACTAGGCAATCAGGATTTAAAATAAACAGTTGCAGCAGCGTATGTGAAGAGTGGGAAAGTGTGTTGTGTGTGTGGCGTCAATATGCAAATGTATGTGTTTTGTGGGTAGAGTCCAGTGAGCGTGCATAGAGTCAGTGCAAGAGAGTCAGTGCAAAAAGGTTCAATGCAAATAGTTCAGGTAGCCATTTGATTAACTATTCAGCAGTATTATGGCTTGGGGGTAGAAGCTGTTCAGGAGCCTTTTGGTCCCAGACTTGGCGCTCCGGTACCGCTTCCCGTGCGGTAGCAGAGTAAACAGTCTATGGCTTGGGCGGCTGGGGTCTTTGACAATTTTCCAGGCCTTCCTCTGACACCGCCTGGTATAGAGGTCCTGGATGGCAGGGAGCTCAACCCCAGTGATGTACTGGGCCATCCGCACCACCCTCTGTAGCGCCTTGCATTCGGATGCCAAGCAGTTTCCATACCAAGCGGTGATGCAGCCAGTCAAGATGCTCTCAATGGTGCAGCTGTAAAACTTTTTGAAGATCTGAGGGCCCATGCCAAATCTTTTCAGCCTCCTGTGGGGGAAGAGGTGTTGTCGTGCCTTCTTCATGACTGTGTTGGTGTGTGTGGACCATGTTAATTCCTTAGTGATGTGGACACAGAGGAACTTGAAGCTCTCGACCCGCTCCACTACACCCCTGCTCGGCCCTCCGTTTCCTGTAGTTCACGATCAGCTCCTTTGTCTTGCTGATGTTGAGGGAGAGGTTGTTGTCCTGGCACCACACTGCCAGGTCACTGACCTACTCCCTATAGGCTGTCTCATCGTCATCGGTGATCAGGCCTACCACCGACGTGTCATCAGCAAACTTAATGATGGTGATGGAGATGTGCACGGCCACGCAGTCGTGGGTGAACAGGGAGTACAGGAGGGGACTAAGCATGCACCCCTGAAGCGCCCCAGTGTTCAGGGTCAGCGTGGCGGATGTGTTGTTGCATACCCTCACCACCAGGGGGCAGCCCGTCAGGAAGTTCAGGATCCAGTTGCAGAGGGAGGTGTTTAGTCCCAGGATCCGGAGCTTTTTGATGCACTTGGATGGTACTATGGTGTTGAACACTGATCTGTAGTCAATGAACAGCATTCTCACATAGGCGTTCCTCTTATCCAGGTGGGAGAGGGCAGTGTGGAGTGCAATAGAGAGAGCGTAATCTGTGGATCTGTTGGGGCGGTATGCAATTGGAGTGGGTCCAGGGTGTTTAGGATGATGGTGTTGATGTGAGCCATGACCAGCCTTTCAAAGCATTTCATGACTACAGATGTGAGTGCTACGGGGCGATAGTCATTGAAACATGAATGTATTACAGACTGGGTCAGGGAGAGGTTGAAAATGTCAGTGAAGACACTTGCCAGCTGGTCAGCACATGTTCCCAGTACGTGTCCTGGAAATTCGACTGGCCCTGCGGCCTTGTGAATGTTTACCTGTTTAAAGGTCTTGCTCATATCGGCTACGGAGAGCGAGATCACACAGTCGTCCGGAACAGCTGGTGCTCTCATGCATGGTTCAGTGTTGCTTGCCTCAAAGTAAAAGCATGAGCTGGCGCACACCCAGAGAAAAGTATTTAGTGTAGAGGTGCTGACTAACGGCAAATAAACTGTAAACTATAAAAAATAAAGAGAGTCACACACTCTATGTGGAGTAAAGGTGGTCTACAGTTTTGTTGCCTCTGGTTGCACAGGTGACATGCTGGTGAAAATGGGGTAAAACGGATTTCAGTTTCCCTGCATTAAAATCACCAGCCACTAGGAGCGCTGCCTCTGGATGTGCATTTTCTTGTTTTCTTAGGCCCTATACAGCTTGTTGAGTGCGGTCTTAGTGCCAGCATCGGTTTGTGCTGGTAAATAGACAGCTACGAAAAATATAGATGAAAACTCTCTTGGTAAGTAGTGCGGTCTGCAGCTTATCATTAGGTATTCTAACTCAAGGTAGCAAACCCTGAGATTTCCTTTGCGCACCAGCTGTTGTTAACAAAGAGATACACCCCTCCCCCCTTAACCTTACCTGCATCTGCCGTACGGTCTTGACGATGCATAGAAAAACCAGCTAGATGTATATTATCCATGTCCTTGTTCAGCCACGGCTCGGAGAAACAGGATATTACAGTTCTTCAGGTCCCGTTGAAAGGATAGTCTCGAACAAAGCTTGTCCAGTTTGTTCTCCAAAAGAACGGAGCCTAGGGGCGGTTTATTTGCACGCCAACGTAGTTTTATCAGTATGCCCGCCCATCTGCCCCTTTTGTGGCGTCGCTTCCTTTTCCGAGTCCCAGGGATTAGGACCTTGTCCGTAGTAAGCAGAACATCCACAGTAGCTGACTTGTTGAAGTAGAAGTTGTTGTCCAAATCGAGGTTAGTGATCGCTGTTCTGATGTCCAGAAGCTGTTTTCGTTCACAGGAAATAATGGCGGAGACAATATTTACAAAAAAAATAAAAAACAGCTACAAAAAACACACAAAGTAGTAGAATTGGTCGGGAGTCCGTAAAACGGCCGATATCTTTTCCTTACCCTTGTTATGCGACTTTAGAACATACCATAATAATATGCTAATGTACTGTATTTGATATGTTCATGTTTTTTTATTATCGCTTGTTTGTTGTTTTCCTTCAGATAAAGTGGTGCTAAAACCCAACGATATTTCAGTCTTCTCCACACTCAGCATCAACGGCCGTCTATTTATCTGTCCCAGGGATCAACTGGATTCATTGGTGGGTATATACCCCTGAGAAAAACATATTGCCCACCAAATTACAATGCAGAAAAACAAGCATTCAGACACACCCGACTAATTCCCAGAGGTTTCCCTACAAGCTACATCTCATGCAGCTGTTACTATGAAGCATGTTGCGTCTCATGTTGTATTTCTCTCATGTAATATATATTTTTTCATCGACTGACAGATGTTCACTGGCCTGAGGCTACTGTTGCATTTCGACTTGTTATAGTTGTATAACTGTCATTGTAGCTATTAAAACAGTCCTGTATTTCAGATGAGTGTTAATTGTATGATGAAGAATAATAATATTATACAGACAACTGTAAATTATATGGTATATTAAGTTTGCACTATATTTCAGACGCCCTTGCCAGAGCAGGAAGGACCCTCCACAGGCTCCATGGGCAGCTTTGAGTTGATGAGCTCTAAAGACCTGGCCTACCAGATGACTCTCTACGACTGGGAACTCTTCCACTGTGTACATGAGGTTTGTCAGACCAATGACAAATGAGGAATTACTTGATTCTATGGATGGTACCCTATGCCCTATACGTGTATAGTGCACTACTTTCGACCACTGACCTATGGGGAATAGTGTGCCATTTGGGGTGCAAGCTATGTCTTCCTACACTCTTCGGCTGTCTCTATAGGAGGTAGAACCGTTTTTGGTTCCAGGTAGAACCCTTTTGCGTTCCATGTAGAACACTCTGTGGAAAGGGTTTTACATGGAACCAAAAAGGGTTCTTCAAAGGGTTCTCCTGAGGGGACAGCCGAACAACCCTTTTAAGTTCTAGATAGCACCTTTTTTTCTAAGAGTGTATCGATCAACTATTAAACCAATATGTTGATACATTATTACAGGAACTATCAGGGACACGGTCATTGACCTTCTCTCTTGCCCTGTTCTACAGCATGAGCTGATCTACCATACGTTTGGGAGGAAGAACTTCAAGAAGACCACGGCCAACATGGACCTGTTCCTCAGGAGGTTCAATGAGATCCAGCTGTGGGTGATCACAGAGATCTGTCTGTGTGCTCAGCAGAGCAAACGTGTTCAGCTGCTCAAGAAGTTCATCAAGATCGCTGCTCAGTGAGTGGCCCTTGCCTTGTCGCCCTGTCGCCCTCTCTCTCATGCACGGACACATACACGTTTGCACACACACTCGGTCTCACCCTGACTGCAGAGCTGTAGTAGTAGAAAGGCATACCTGTGTAACTTAGCTGTAGGGTACGGTCAACCCTCCCAATCAATCCCTAAGGGAAAAGGTTTAAATGTCTAGATTAAAACGTGTGAATGGCTGAATGTACGGTACATTCGGAAAGTATTCAGACCCCTTGACTTTTTCCACATTTTGTTACAGCCTTATTCTAACATTGATTTTTTTTGTTTTTTTCCCTCATCATTCTACACACAATACCCCATAATGACAAAGCAAAAACAGTTTTTTAAATTTTAGCAAATGTATTAAAAGTAGAAAACGCTCTGGAGCCGTTTTTCATCAAGGATCTCTCTGTACCTTGTTCCGTTCATTTTTCCCTCAATCCTAACTAGTCTCCCAGTCCCTGCCGTTGAAAAACATCCCCACAGCATGATGCTGCCACCACCATGCTTCACCGTAGGGATGGTGCCAGGTTTCCACCAGACATGACGCTTGGCATTGGTTTCATCAGACCAGAGAATCTTGTTTCTCATGGTCTGAGAGTCCTTTACGCATCTTTTGGCAAATTCCAAGCGGGCTGTCATGTGCCTTTTACTGAGGAGTGACTTCCGTCTGGCCACTCTACCATAAAGGCCTAATTGGTGGAGTGCTGCAGAGATGGTTGTCCTTCTGGAAGGTTCTCCCATCTCCACAGAGGAACTCTGGAGCTCTGTCAGTGACCAGCGGGTTCTTGGTCACCTCCCTGACCAAGGCCCTTCTCCCCCGATTGCTCAGTTTGTCCGGGTGGCCAGCTCTAGGAAGAGTCTTGGTGGTTCCAATCTTCTTCTATTTAAGAATGATGAAGGCCATTGTTTTCTTGGGGACCTTCAATGCTGCAGACATTTTTTGGTACCCTTCCCCAGATCTGTGCCTCGACACAATCCTGTCTCAGAGCTCTACGGACAATTCCTTCGACCTCATGGCTTGGTGTTTGCTCTGACATGCACTGTCGGCTGTGGGACCTTATATAGACAGGTGTGTGCCTTTCCAAATCAAGTTGTAGAAACATCTCAAGGATGATCAATGGAAACAGGATGCACCTGAGCTCAATTTCGAGTCTCATAGCAAAGCGTCTGAATACTTATGTAAATAAGGTATTTCTGTTTCTAATTTTTAATACATTTGCAAAGATTTCTAAAAACCTGTTTTCGCTTTGTCATTATGGGATATTGTGTGTAGATTGATGAGGATTTTTAGGTATTTCATCCCTTTTAGAATAAGGCTGTAATGTAACAAAATGTGGAAAAAGGGAAGGGGTCAGAATACTTTCAGAATGCACTGTACGTGTATCATTTAGGTAATGATGAGTGTTTCATTCCTGACCCCCTGTGATTACTTATATTAGTCACATGTAACATGGTACCTGATACTGATACATCTTTGGACTACTTTCTCTCTGTAACAGCTGTAAAGAGTATAAGAACCTCAACTCCTTCTTCGCTATTATCATGGGCATGAGCAACCCAGCCGTGAGCAGACTGAGTCAGACCTGGGAGGTGGGTGTCTCTCTGTCACTGTGTCTGTATGTCTGTCTCACTGTGTCTGTCTGTCTCTCTCACTGTGTCTGTCTGTCTGTCTGTGTCTGTCTGTGTCTGTCTGTCTGTGTCTGTCTGTCTGTCTGACACTGTCCAAAAACACTTACCTGTGTTTAGCACCTGCCAAAGAATATAGTGATTTCAACTGTTTGATAACTTTCCCTGTTATTTGTGTTGACAGAAACTACCAAGCAAATTTAAGAAGTTTTACAGTGAATTTGAAAGCTTAATGGTGAGTACAATTAACAATTTTTAGCCCCATATCAACCATTCATCCACCTACATAGTCTCTAGCCTTTCTTTCTATAGCTTCTATTTATTCAAATATTGAATTGAAACTTCACATTCTTGCATGGTCATTTGTCATCTAACAATGTATGGATTGAGCAGCACCACCCTTGGCTGTGACTGTGATATGCCCACTTAACATGGTTATGGCAGATCTCAGAACAGTGTGAGTGTTTCCACAGGACCCTTCCAGGAACCACCGGGCGTACCGGCTCACTGTGGCCAAGCTGGACCCGCCCATCATTCCCTTCATGCCGCTGCTGATCAAAGGTCATTGCAACCCAACACAGCTCTCTCCCACCATATACATGACCCTCCATGTTGTTTTAACCATTATCTTACCCATTGATTGACTATTGAGAAGTTTATCCTCACTGCCTCTTGTGTGAAGAAGTTATCAGCACGTTTTGATCTCTCTTTTTGGAGTGTCGACCTGCGACAGTGTAACTAGCTTCTATATTGTTTGCTCTTGTCAATTCCAGTCCTTGTACTTTTGCCTATGTTCTTTCTATGTGTGTAATCATATTGATATTATCTTTCCAGACATGACTTTCACTCATGATGGAAACAAGACATTCATTGACAGTTTGGTCAATTTTGAGAAAATGGTAAGGCCCTCCATGAGGATATTGATTTTGATATATTATATTGGAGGTCTAAATTCAAAATGGTAACATCTATTTGTGTTTTTCAGCGAATGATCGCTAATACAGTGAGAATAGTGAGATACTGCAGAAGTCTGCCATTCAGTAAGTAAACATAACTGTCTTTAAAAGGTTTCTAAGTGCTTGGGTATACAGGGCACTGTTATAATAAAGGTGGTATTTCTCTTTCCCATCGTCTCAGGTGCAGAACCATCTCAGACCAGTAAGAACCACCCGGACGTGAGGAGCTACGTGCGCCAGCTGACTGTGATTGACAACCAGAGAACACTGTCTCAGCTCTCCCACAGACTGGAGCCACGCAGGACCTGAAGCCTCCCTGGACACTGGACAGACACTGGACAACTACAGTACATGTCTCATGCTGCTGCTCTACTGCCAAAAATAAGCTTGCTTTACATGTTGTACCAATACACACACATATCCACTCTGCTACATGGAACTTCACATTATTATACATACAGTATAGTCAAGTATGCTACAGAGTTCATCAGTTCCACCTTCAACTGTATTTTCAAATGTCAGTATAATTTCTGCTTCTTGTTTCCTTTTGTGTATTGTTCTCATTTTTTTAAACACTCTGCTTTACATTTCACCAAGTATTTTCAAATTCATCTCATTCTCATGTCCCTGAAGCTCTATTTGATTATTTGAAGTCACCAGCCCCATGAAAATAACACACTCTATAAAGTGAATGATCTTTTGGAAATAATCATCCATTCGATTGTTGTACAAGAATCTGTGAAGTTTATGTTAAACAGAGAACTTTTCCAGATGGAAACATTGGCTCTTACTTCACTCTCTGACCTCCTAAATTCAAAATCCTGATATTCAGTTGTGGTTTCCTGTCTTTTTTCTAAATCAGATTGTATTTATAAATATTTCAGTTTGAGGCTTTTTATTACACATGTTGTACAATGTATTCATATATGTATTATAACCTCAGCATGCAATGATTTGAGATGTTGGGCTGGATATACAGTATGTGAGCACATTCCTCTTTCAAAGTATGTAAGGTAACTGTTGTCTGCAAATATTTTAGACATGTTTATTGTGTAAATATTAAAAACAAATTAGATGTATCTGCTGATGATGCTGTCCATTCATTATTTTGATAACTATTTAGTATAATAGCTAATTATGAGCTAAGATGAAAATATATTTAGAGTAGCACGAAATAATATTTCAAATACACTTTTATGCTGTCATAGTATGTCTTTTGATGATAGGAAAACTAATTAAATTCCCTATTATTGCAGGTGTTGGTTGTTATAACATAGACTGCTACTTCTATTTAATGGTGTCGTTGGGGGTGTACCGATTTTGTCCATTGAGTGGAGCTGTTGTCATCAGAATTTGTGAAACTCTTCGAAAGATTTTAGGATACTTCCCTGGTTTTAATGTCTATGGCTATTTCTCTTTAGCGTTCAGCACTCAGCCCGAGTCAAGGAAGAAATTTGGTAACTAGAAATGACTGTGTGGGGAAATCATAAACGTCACGCCCGGGTTCCCGGAAAGTGGGTTCTTTACAGTAGGTATATGTTTACCTGCAGAAGTTAAGCTAACCATTGGATCTGTCAAACAGATTTTTTGCTATTATTTGTTGGAAAATTCAAAGGTAGGCTAGGTACTAATATCGCATTATAATTCGGTGAGTAGGCCTACGCGCCATTAAATGTTTTCCATTACATACTTTTTTTTAAAGTTGTGAATAACCCATTTTGTTCATGTTTATTTTATAGTTGTCTATGTTTGGCAAAAGCTTTGGTCTCGTGCGTTAAAGTGCTTCCACTTTTAGTAATACGCAACATGCGTGTCATCGAGGAAATGGGCAGTCTTGCCTTAAATTCGTGTTGAACCTGAGCTGCTGAAGTGTCTTAATTTGGCTAAATTATATTTAACAACATTTACACTAGCCTATACATGCAACATAAACAATGGACCATTCCCATCCAGTAGCGTACCCATTGTTTTCCTTGACATGGCAACCTGGGTAGACGTAACATAGTAAATGTAAATCCAGAATACACAATTAGTATGATATGTTACGTTTCGTGTGGTATGTATTAATTTGTGGATGTCCATCATTTATTTTGTATGCTGCAAAGTAGCTAAAAAGTAGTAAGTAGTTGCAAAGTTGCTAATTAGCTAAAATGCTAAAGTTGTCCTTGTTGAGATTCAAACGCGAACCTTTGGGTTGCTAAATGTTCACTATATAAGCCTTCCCGTCCACCCCGACCAACCACCCTAAGTAACCTTCTGTCTTATCTAACCATACCAAATCTCTGAGACCAGGCTGGAGATAGGGTCTCTCCAAAGTAAACAGAGCACAGTAGTTTTAGACAGTGCTGACCTCTTGGGTGCACCAGTATTGTAGTAAATATTACTGTTTATTACACAAATTGCATATGATATTGTTCTTAAATCACATACATTTTCTTAGGGTTGTGGAGAATTTGAGGGGAATATTATGGACAATCTTGACCACCCAACATGTTGTCCACAATACAATGTTGATACACTGTAGCCTATTCAGTGTAATAGCTCTGTCATGAACACCAGTTTGTCATTATATCAGGTTGTGTTCTTTCATCATTAGTGTTGTTTTATCCCTGGTTGAATTATTTACTGTAAATGCCTGGAGGCATTTTGATTATGTAAGTAACAGCAGTGAGACTTCTACTTTGTTTTGTTTTGGGTGGTAGTTTAAACACTGCAGCTTCTCTGAAACTGAAGTTTGTAATTCCTGATGGGACACAGTTTGTAATCATATCCACCACAGGGATGATATGGATGGGTAAAGCAGATGAGGTTAATTCAATACATTTGATTATTTCCGTTACATTTTTACATTTTCATCTGTAGAGCTCTGGCAGGTATCTACTTGCCTGTATATTTTCACATGGATATTAGTCCATTATTTCAATGCCTGCAGCAGAGTGTTTACTTTCCAGTGAGGACAGGCAAAAACGAGCTCCAATATCCCAGTAACCCTGGCGTCTTGAGTGGCTACAGAAAATGTCGGAGCTGCTCATGTACTGAGAAGATTGGTGTGAAGCTAAGTATAGCATGAATAGCCGTAAATCAGTAGAGAGCATTGGCTCCCCTCTGTGACAATGGAGGCATTTCCTGCTGGGCTGGATAGCAATCCTGAATCAGGTCAAGGTAACAGCCTCTTAAAAGCCATAATTGCTGAGCAGTAAATGGGAAACTTCTGAACAATAACCGAGCTACAATTTCCTGTAATGAAGGGGTTATTTCTTTACAAGATGCATTTAGGTTGTTATTTAAAAACAAAAGGAAGCACTAATTGTTTTCTGCAGGCACAAAGTTGATGGTTTGGTGTTCCCTCTCCCTATAGATTGCACTTTCATTTATATACATTAGGAAGACATAGTCCCTGTTATTTGAATATAGAATTAGAGGTGTGTAGCACCTTCTTTGGGTTTGTTTTTAAAACAAGTGTGTAGTGATAGTGTGTCATTAAAAGTTTGCAGTGATTCATGGGAGACTAGAGGATGCAGTCCCTTTACTAGCTCTGCTGTGTCTAGCTCAGTAGCCTTGTACAGACACTAGACTGTGCTGGAATAGTCAGTGACTTTGGCCGTGTGTATTTTGTGCAAACTGATCACAGTAGAGGGAGAATGCATGCCATGGATACCATCCATAGTTCTTATACAAGCAGAGGATCCTGGGACACTCACTTAGTGCTTACTGGTACTGGTGACTGTGTGGCGTAGGTCTGGGGCAGGCGGGCGTGTTGAATGTCCCGTAAATCACTGGCTGAGATCAGGGATATCACAGTGCCACTCCGGGCAGACATAGCCAATGACACAGAGGCCTCCCTGAGGTACTGTTAGCAGCACATCCAGCTTCTCAGTCACACGCTCTAATGGTGTGCTCAAGTGTACAGCTGCTCTCTTAGTGTGTCACTGGTGCAGGACTTTTACCTTGAGGAATCAGAGGGGTCTTTTCTGGGAACAAGCCTATGACAGATTTGAGCATCGGTTCTAAACTGCTTTTTAGTGAACTCTGCTTATTATCTCCTTCCCTGTGGTCCTCCAGACAGACGTTGAGTTGGGGCTGAGTGTTATTATGAGATGTTGTCTCTCAGTGCCTCCTTTGTGCAAATCAAGTTTGATGACATCCACTTCTACGAGAACTGCGGCGGCGGCAGCTTCGGGAGCGTGTACCGAGCCAGGTGGATCTCTCAGGACAAAGAGGTGGCGGTGAAAAAGCTGCTCAAGATCGAAAATGAGGTAGGAGTCCTAATTGCTGAGGCTTTTCATATACTTTTTAATTGTCGGTATAGTAATCATTTTAATTGCTACCCCATTTAGTTATTATACTCCCCCTCGCCTTGTGCACAGAATTTCACATACTGTATGCTTTAAAAGAACGACTATTGCCAAATGAGGGATCATATTAGGCCCAATTAAAGCATGGGTTTCTGAGTCTGGAGATTTCTTGTAAGTGATAGCCTCATTGTCTTGAGACAAAAAGACATCTGATATACACTACATGACTAAAGGTATGTGGATACCTGCTCGTTGAACATCTCATTCCAAAATATGGGCATTAATATGGAGTTTGTCCCCCCTTTGCTGCTATAACAGTCTCCACTCTTCTGGGAAGGCTTTCCACTAGATGTTGGAACATTGCTGCGGGGACTTGCTTCCATTCAGCCACAAGAGCATTAGTGAGGTCGGGCACTGATGTTTGGCGATTACGCCTGGCTCGCAGTTGGCGTTCCAATTTATCCCAAAGGTGTTCGATGGGGTTGAGGTCAGGGCTCTGTGCAGGCCAGTCAAGTACTTCCACACAGATCTCGACAAACCATTTCTGTATGGACCTCGCTTTGTGCACGAGGGCATTGTCATGCAGAATTAGGAAAGGGCCTTCCCCAAACTGTTGCCACAAAGTTGGAAGCACAGAATCATCTAGAATGTCATTGTAAGCTGTAGCGTTAAGATTAAGGGGCGTAGCCCGAACCATGAAAAACAGCCCCAAACCATTATTCCTCCTCCACCAAACTTTACAGTTGGCACTATGCATTTTTTATTTATTTATTTATTTAACCTTTATTTAACTAGGCAAGTCAGTGAAGAACAAATTCTTATTTACAATGACGGCCTACACCGGCCAAACCCGGACGACGCTGGGCCAATTGTGCGCCGCCCTATGGGACTCCCAATCACGGCCGGTTGTGATACAGCCTGGAATCGAACCAGGGGGTCTGTAGTGACGCCTCAAGCACTAGAGATGCAGTGCTTTAGACCGCCTCGGGAGCCCAGGGCCAGGTAGCGTTC